AAACCATTATACCCTGATTTCCCATTTTCAATGGGTTCAGGGTATAAAAATACACCACATTAGTTAGGGTATACAAATGCAATTTGCGTTCGTTACGCTCTGCGGTTGCACTGAGCTCCCAGCTCCCGGCTCCCGGCTCCCTGCTTGCAGCTTGCAGCGTGGGAGCTGCGAGGGCTGCTCTGCGAGAGCGCGAGGCACCGCGATAAGTCCTTGGTGGCGCGTTTCAGGTGCTTCAACTCTGTCGTGCCAGGGTTCGGTGTCGATGTCGAAGCTGTAATTTCATCGCCAAAAATAAAGCATAAGAAGCAAAACAGAAGACAACAGAAACAACAACAACAACAACAAATTACAAGCGCAAAAAGTAAATGCAGTTGGCCCTGAGCTGTCAACGCATGCATAAGTGTGTGTGTGTGTGTGTGTTTGTGTGTGTATCTCAGATCTCTAGAGCTGTCTGTTGAAAGTTGCCAGCCAAAAGATTTATTGGCAGCCATCGTCTGAGACGACTTTTTAAAGTGAATGCCTTTTGCACAAGATGACAAATCGTTGGGCACAACAAAATCGAAAACATCGAAAACATCGACAACATTGACAGCATCGACAACATCGACAGCGAGTGTGTAAATGCCTGCTTATGTATAACAATTAAACGCCCATTGGCATTGGCCATGCTATTTGAATAGGCTCTGGGGGCCTCGACTGGCTCGTAAAATAATACAATATTCAGGGGAACAAATTGATTTCAATTAGTTTGCTTGGCGCGTTGCATTTGAAATTTATACTAATTGCGTTTTGTACACTTTCTCTGGCAATTGCAGCTGTGGCCCAGTCGAGCTTCAAGTGCCCCGATGATTTCGGCTTCTATCCACACGATACATCCTGCGACAAGTACTGGAAGTGCGACAATGGCGTCTCCGAGCTGAAGACCTGCGGCAATGGTCTGGCCTTCGATGCCTCAGACTCCAAGTTCCTCACCGAGAACTGCGACTATCTGCACAATGTGGATTGCGGTGAACGCACAGAGCTGGGTAGGTCTAACGCCGATTGCCCTCAATGTTGGTTAGCTCAACTTGTTTACTTCCATTTGCAGAGCCTCCAATCACCACGCCCCACTGCTCGCGTCTGTACGGCATCTTCCCCGATGAGAACAAGTGCGACGTGTTCTGGAACTGCTGGAACGGCGAGCCATCCAGGTACCAGTGCTCACCTGGCCTGGCCTACGATCGTGATGCACGCGTCTGCATGTGGGCCGATCAGGTGCCCGAGTGCAAGAACGAAGGTGAGTTTCGAATAAACAATTGGGCTCCTGAGTTACGGGAACTAACTATCCTATCCACTTGCAGAGGTTGCCAATGGCTTCGCCTGTCCAGCTGCTGGTGAGCTGGCCAACGCTGGCTCCTTCTCCCGTCACGCACATCCCGAGGACTGCCGCAAGTACTACATTTGCCTGGAGGGCGTGGCACGCGAGTATGGCTGCCCCATTGGCACAGTGTTCAAGATTGGCGACAGCGATGGCACTGGCAACTGTGAGGATCCCGAGGATGTTCCCGGCTGGTAAGTTGTAACAGTTAAGCTTGAATACACAATATGTTTGGCACCTGGTTTGCTTTTGGTTTTGCTTGGAGTTGTTGAATTTGAGTTTTGAGTTTAGTTTGCTACGCTTGCACCACAGACCACACTACCGAACCACCGAACCACAGACAACAGTTCTTAGTCGTTCAGCCGATTCGAGATCTATTCTTCTACACTAATACTCTTGTATCTATTCATGCATCGACACGCGCTCTCTCTCTCTCTCTCTCTCACGCACACGCATACGCACACACAGTCACACACTCACTTACATACATACATACATATCTCTCTTGGCCTATTCTCACATTTGTCTTTACCTCGTCCCTTTACAATTGCAGCGAAGACTACTATGGTGATCTGGACTTGAAGAGCATCCGCAAAAGCGAGCTTCTAGCTGGATTGAACACTGAAGGTCGCACTAAGAACGCGCCCAAAACCAAAGCTGCCACCTCATAAACATAACAACAACAAATATAAGAACTAAAACAACAACAACAACAACAACAACAGCAACTACAATACTATAAAGAAACAACTACAACAATATCAACTCGAATCCTTTGCCCAACTACTTTCCCACTACTCTCACATCACAAAGTCTCACCTCTAACAAGAACCTAAAAGTGAAACAATAATACTCAACCAGCCTCAAGATCGAACTCTATATCATTATCAAGTCAATCTCCTACTATCCTAAAACGTTTCTATTTATCTCTTACCTATCCGTAAATCCAACTGTTGATATCTTCAACTCTTCCAAATTGCAAAAACAAGTTTGAGAACTTATGAAATTTAGGTCCAAAAGGCTAAAAAGACAAATTCGTAATCAAATGTGCGAAACACACGCAAGATAAATTGAGTGTAAACAACATCGAGGAGAGAGAAAAATCTTTCAAATTGCAGAGTAAAATTGAGAGATTTGTACATTTAAGTGATCTTTGTTTATAAGCTTATAATTTTATTTTATACATAAAACAAAAAATACACAAAAACTAAAAAAAAACTTCAAATTTTATAGTTCTTATTTATGAGAGAGTGCTCAGCTTAAAGGGAAGCTTAAGCACGTATATTTTATATAAAGTAGCTGAAGACTGAAGACGACTTTCATTTGATTATATAAATATATATATTTTATATAAAATATAGTAAGGCAATATATATTAAAATTAGCTCAGCTCAAATACATATATAAATATAAATATATATGCAAATTTATGAAAAATAAATATATGAATTTATAAATCATTTAATCTGAAAGTTAGCTCAGCTCACATAGTTGATTCCCTTTAATTAGTACTATTTTCTTTTATCTCATTATATGAATTTTCAAGTCTTTAAACCACTCCGAAATATTTCCACTGCAAAGTTCCTGATATGTAGTGAAAGTAAAATTGAGGCAGCTAGCAAGGCAGCAAGGCAAAGTTCAGTTGCCCGAGCTGCGATTTAAAGCTCTATTTGAGCAACTAAAAGTCGAATAATTTTTGGGTGGCTTCACGGCTAGGCCAGAAGTACGAACAAACTCGTAAACACTCGTAAATTATTTATAATTTTGCCATTGGGCTGTGGGAATATGTGGTAGGTGGTGCGGGCAGGCGAATAGCGAGGTTCATGTGATTTCATTTTGTTTTGTTTTATTTTTTTCTATTTCTTTATTTCCGTATTTTGTTTGGCTGCGTTTGCCGTCTGAAGTCGCCGAGTCTGTAAATAATAAGTAAACAGAAAACTTTGCGACGCCAGCCATATTTGTCGCAAATGAAAACTTGGCAGCCTTTTCGAGAGTCCAACGTCTTTGCTAACGATGCCAGAGTCGGCGTCGACATCGGCGTCGGCGGCGGCTGCGTCGGTGGCTGTGGCGGTGGCGTCGACGTGGACTTCATCGTCAACGTCGTTGACATCTTTTGAAATGCACAAGAACTTTGTTAATTATTCATTAGATTCTATAAACAAAAACGCGATACAAAAACTTTAAATGAATTTTCAAATTATCAACACAATTGCAGGCAGAACCAGCACACAGACAGACAAACGCACACACACACTCACACAAGCGCACACTAGCACGTGGTCTACCTCGATAGGGGCGCCAGCCATGGGAAGGGCAAGCGGGTCGCAACACTAAATCATAAAAGGGGGCAAAAACTTTACTATGCCTTGTCGTTGACTTTTGTCCGTGTGTGTGTGTGTGTGTGTGTGTGTGTGTGTGTGTGTGTTTGTGTATATGTGTAGAGACGCATACACTTGCCACATTTTCGAAAGAGTTTTAAAACTAATTAAATAAAAATTATAAAACTCGACAAACTCAAGGCGCAGCCAAGGCAAAAGGACATTCTCGGTTTATGTATGTGTGTATGCGTGTGTGTGTTGGTTGAAAGCGCGCACAGAACTGCAACATTTTGGAAAATTAGTACAAAGTGGCCAAAATGCACATAATTCGCTTTAGGTCCTGTTTAAGAGTGCGGTAACAGTTATAGCCACAAAGAGAGATAAAGAATCAGAGAGTAGAGAGACAGAAAGAGAGAGAGAAAGTGGGAGAGCAGGAGAGACTGCGCTACACACAGCTCTTGTTATCATATTTTGCTTTCACCTGCTTTGCCCAGCTCCATGTAGTTGTTGCAATCTCCAATTAAAAGTTGTTGCAAGCAACAGCGGTGAGTCCTTTGGTCCGTGCTGCAGCCAGGAGCGACTGCAGAATAACGGCAAACGCCAGGCACATAAAAGTGTTTTATAAACATAAATGATTAAACAAAGTTGGACGAAACCGCTCGCCACACAGCAGCAACTGTTGCTGCTGCCAAAGAAACTGTGTGGCAGTTGCAAATAGAGCCATGTCCAAGCCATGCAGCAGGACATCTGCAGCAGATCCTGCCCCTAAAACTGCTGCTGCTGTTGATGGATAATAGCCTTGCTCTTGCACGCGACTGTCCCCTCCCGTCAGCCGGGACATCTGTCTGTGCTGGCTATGAAAATCCTTTTAACGTTTTGACTCTAATTAATTTTAATGATCTTATAAACGCACAGCAAGCACATGAAACTAACAGCAGCAGCAGCAACCGCTAAGCCTGACTGCCAATACGAAGCAGTAAACAACGCATAAATACGTAATATAGAGCAGGTATTTGGGTGACCAGCTAGTATAGAGCTACGAGAGCGTATTATAGAAAACATAAAAAATAAAATCTACAAATGTGTAAGAAGTGAAATATAGAAACGGAAATGTTATATTTGACTTATAGATTTGATAGTTGTTGGCAGGGAAGTCAAACGTCGAAATTGATATGACCTATCATACATAGACAGTTTTGGGTGGATTAAACTTCCCTGCTTAGAATATATATGATATAAGAATAGTTATTGGGCTTCCCAGTAATATATCAATCAATGAAGTGAAACAAAAAACAGGGTATAAGGAAATCGAATAAAAGTGAGAGGTGGATTTCTTAGACTTTTCAAAACAAGAGCTGAAAAGCAGAAACATGTTTTAAAATATATTTTATATTATTTTATTTAATTAGTTTATTTTATTTATGTATTTATTTATTTCAATTCATTAAATTTAGTTTTTGTTAAAAGGTTTAAACTAACTCTAATTAGAAACTTAGAATAAAGTAAAGGACAGCTCCAACGATCCAAGCTTTGTTTAGATATCTAAATTAGTCCCTCTTTCACTTTAAATAATAAGATGATCTTTATCTCTGTTTTATTTGTTAATACTCATGCTATGAAAAATATAACAATATCACAGAGATTTATTGAATACTTCATATGTATTTCTAATACATATACCTCAAAATATTAAATTTCCAAGTATTTCAAGTACTTCAAAGTCGATTTTAAAGTATTATTCCCTGTTAAACTATCCATAGAATTCTATGTTCACATCATTTCATGTTATGCTGCCCATAGCAGGAGATTATACAACTTTATTTGTAGGCATTACACATTGCTTAGCACTATTAATATACCCGATTGCCCCTTGCCCACTGGGTATCATAAATAAATATTATCAGAACAACACAAGGAGAAGAGAAGCAAACAACGATTTCTGTCCATATTTTGTGGCTTAGAATGCCATGTCGCAGGGTTTTGGCCAATTCCATTTAATTTAATTTAATAGCTTTGCGCTTTTTGTCATTTGCTGGACCGCATCGCGCATTTTGTATGAGGCGCTGCGTACATGTCCTTCCAGCTGCTGCTGCTCCTGCTGCTGGTCGTCCTTGTGTGCGGCGAGCCTTAAAGCCAATTGGCTGGCTTCCGTATGGTCGTGCTGTCTGCCTGTCTCTCTGTCTCGCTATCTCCCTAGCTTCCTCTGTGTGTGTGTGTGTGTGTGTGTGTGTGTGGCTGTGTGTGGTCATAGCTGTTGATATTGTTGTTATTGCAGGAAACAAGCGAACATCTTCTTTTAATCCTTGATGTCCTGTTGCTTCGCTCTCTGCCATCCCATTCAGCTGACTGTGACGCAAATCCTTGTAGAGCAGCGGCCGCCTTTTCATCAGCCATCCGCCATCCGCCACTCGCTCTTAACAAGTTTTTAACAATATTATTTTTTTTAATTATGGCTTTCATAAAAAATTCTTTTGTTGATTTATTAGACAAAGGGCGGCACTCTGGGGCCGCACACAGCTTTATTAAAGTAGCAATCAAAATGTGGCAGCATTCCAAAGAGTGCAAAAAAAAAACAAGAAGTATAAGTGCTCTAGTTGGAAGTGCGCCATTGAGAGATACCCTAACTCCCATTGACCCCAAATGCTCCTTTGGTGGCAGATTAACTGCCACAAATCACATAATAATCAAATGCGTATATAAATAAATGAACATTTCAAAGCTTGCCTGAAAATCATAATCTCCTCTTCTAAGGATAAGGAAGTATGTGAAAAAGTTCCATTTGTAACTCCATACAATGTTTCTTTGCCAACCATATGCCATGTCGCAATTCCAAGCACACACACACACACACACAGTCACAGTCACGTGTCAAGCTAAAGAATTTAATTAAGCAAATCAACGCAAAGCCAAACCGAAAAATTAGTGTGCCCTTTGAATATTACGTATACGCAGCATGAACCTGAACGAGAAAAAAAAACACATGAACAAACAAATTTATATTAATGCATGCATTTCATTCTTTTTATAGCGAGGATTACTATGGCGATGTAGACCTCAAAGCTTTAAAAAAATTGGGCTTTTAAATAAAACAAAACAAAAAATATATAAAGCACACAAAAGCCAACGCAAATATCCTGAAATCGTGGCGTAATGAGCAAGATGCCAGCAGCAGCCAGGAACCAGGAGCGAGAAGAACCAGAAGAAGCCGCCATAATAGCGGGTTGAAAAGGCTTGCCACACAGCGTTAAGTATGCATAAAGAATATTAAGAAATACACACACACACACACACACACATACACGTATTGTTAAACAGTTGACTTTAAAGACTGAACAAAAGTAGACACAGCGAAGCCTTAAAAACAATAACAAATGCAACGAAAGCGCCCAGAAACCCGCATCATGAAAGCAAATTGAACAACTACAAAATGTTTAGTAACCAAGACAATAGCTTAAAGACAAACCCCTGAAAGCTAAATCTCTAGAATATGTCTGGCTTCGCCAGCGTGCGGATGCCACAGTGAAGTCCTAGTTATTAGCCGAGCCAAAACTTAAAGCAGCACAGTCAAATGAAAACTTAACTTATTAACCAAATGTCAAAGAAATAAACATAAACAAATACACAGCCGAAGCACACGCATTGTATATATAGCTGAAACATTATATTATTAAGTTTTATTGCAAATAAAAATAAATGTAATCAAAATGGAAAATTGTGCATTTTTTTCTTTATATTATATAAGTTATATCTTATTTCAGTTTTTTAATGAAAAAATAATTAAAGT